CTCATCATTTGATGTTCTTTTATTTCCGGAAAGAAAAACAAAGAAACAAAAAGACCATCAAGCAGTGAGCAAAAAAGATAATACAGAGAACGAAAACGAAAGAAAGGAAGAAAGAAAGGAGATAACAATATATAGAGTAGAGTAGAAAAAGGAGGACACAAAGAAAGAAAGAAAGAAAGAAAGAAAGAGAAAAAAGAAAGAAAGGAGGTAACAATATATATATTAGAGTAGAAAAAGGAGGACACAAAGAAAGAAAGAAAGAAAGAAAGAACGAAAGGAAGAAAGAAAGAGAGAGAAAAAAGAAAGAAAGGAGTTAACAATATATATATTAGAGTAGAAAAAGGAGGACACAAAGAAAGAAAGAAAGAACGAAAGGAAGAAAGAAAGAGAGAGAAAAAAGAAAGAAAGGAGGTAACATATTTGAGTAGAAAAAGAAAGACAACACAAAAAAGAAAAAAGAAAAATGAAAGAAAGAATGATAAAGAGGTAACATTATATAAAAAAGAGACAAAACAAGGGAAAAAAATAGAAAAATTGATTAATTCATTCATTTTCTACGACTTATCAACCATTTAAGGCCAGAAAATACTTTTAGAATGTAAGAATTTTTAGGAGGAGGTGATAACGGTTTACATGTCTTATAGCCAAGATGAGATTTCCAAGGATATTTGTGCGTAAGTGAATATAACGAACCATTGGAACTCGGATCTCCGATTAACAAACAATTCTGAGCCATTACCCATTATGCCACCCGTAAATTCACGTTTCGGTTTACAGCATCTGGTATTTCCAAGCCTGGTACTGACCAGGCTCGGCGCTGCTTAACTTCTATGATTGTACGATCATTCATCTAGGTACTGATCAGGCTCGACGTTGCTCAAAAAGAAAAAAAGATAAGAGATAACGTTATAGTACAAAAAGAAAGAAAGAAAGAAAGAAAGAAAAAGAAAGAGATGACCTTATAGTAGAAAAAGGAAAAAAAGTAAAAACGAAGAAAGAAAGAAAGAAAATGGCAGAGAAAGGAAAAGGGAAAGACAAAAGCTTCAAAGAGTTAGAGAGGAAGAAACACACACACACACACACACATATATATATATATATATATATATATATGTAGAGAGAAAACACTAAGTCATAAAAATAAAAATACTGTCAAAATAACGAAATCGAGAAATTTAGAGAGAAAAGTAGTATACATTGATAATGTGTGGAAGAGAAAATAGGAAGAAAGAAAAGAGAGTGAGGAAAGATCAGCAATGAAAAAGTCGACTAAAGGCAGACTAAGAGGAAAATAGCTAAATTAAAGTAATTAATAAAATTAGGGTAAAAGAGAGAGAGAAAGCCAAGTGAAGAGAGAGAGAGGTTGTTGAAGAGATAAAGACAAAATAAATGCGAAAAAGCTAAAAAAAAAATCATTTTAAGAGAAAGTAAATAAATAAAAAAAAGCTGACTTGTAAATCTCTGAAATACTACGACCCAAATACAAGCAAGCAGGTCAGAAAATGGGTTTATCATTTGCCCGCGAGAATAGGACCGACGCTGCTTTTTCGAAACGACAGCTTCAGTACGCATTTTAACGAACAACACAAGCTGATTTTTTTGTTATCATTTTCTCGGTCACCTTCTTTTGAATGATTAAATTCAGGACATTGATAATTGCCAAGGAAAAATACTCTTGGTAGAATGATCTATGAATAATACTAACAACTAGTTCTAACCTACGAAAATTTAATGTTTTTCCTATTTTAATATTCTGATAAACTTAATTTAATGATTGAGTAAGCTCATGGCAAGTTCTACAATAAAATATTAGTAGTGAGGAGAGATTCCTCTATATCACATTGTTAAATATTTGTGCTTAACAACTTTAAAAAAGATATTGCAATAACAATCATAAACATGAATGCTGATCGTTAACATACTGGAGGTGATTTTGCTTGCAAAAGATTTTGCTTGCAAAAGATTTTATCGTGCCACTATAAGTGACGCAGATGAATGAATAATAGCGTGTTTGAATTTTGCAGTTGTGTTGTCATATCCTGCTATGGCAACTGAAAATGACCATGACTGAAATTAAGTAGTGCAGTAGAAGAGCCTTGATAAACGATGCAGTAGGAAGGAAAGTAATGAATAATGTAGAGTGATAAAGGTTATGAAGTGGGTACAAATGAAAAGGTTTGAAATTGACAACTTTTCCATTTCACTGAAACAGCCTTTAAACATTTCTCTTTCTTTCTTTCTTTCTTTCTTTCTTTCTTTCTTTCTTATTGAAATCAAGTAGCGTCTCTGATATGTAATTCCCGTCTTTTCATGCGATCAAAATGGAATAATTCATTATTTATAAGGTATTGGCAGGAGACGTTAAACACTTCTATCTTTCCTTCTTTTTTTTTCTTTGTTTCATTTTCTCACTGAAACGAAGTAGTGTATCTTCTCCTCTTTCTGAGCATCAAAATGGAATAGTCCATTATTTATGAATATAAGCGCAGTACGAGATTGGCGACAGGCCTCATTTTACATGCCCAGTTTTAACCATAAGTCTTAGGCTAAAAGTTTCTTCTAGCTCACTTCTCGCTTGTAGAACTTTCTTTCAGCTTCTTTATCTTCAAAAATTTAAATGCAATGTCAGCCGTTATCTTCTGTCTTCTTAATTCTTATTCTTTTATTGTCTTCTCTCCTTAATAGTAGTTTTTCTCATATTCTGTAACAATCAGTAACCTCTTGCATGTTATTGGCTTTATTGTCTTGTTTGGGGTGAAATGATTATATATATATATATATATATATATATATATATATAATGAAATGGACTAAGTCCAACAATTATTTTAATATATTTTCTGTTTATACGTTATGTTACTTATTTTTATTTATTTTCGCAGTTTATATGTGATCACTGGAATGAATGGATTTTAATCAATATATATATATATATATATATATATATATATATATATATATATATATATATATGTAAATGGTCTGTTTATAATAAACAGTATTTGTAACATTTTGCTTAAATATTTGTATCTCCAAAAAATAAGGTTTTAAACAGAATAGATATATATATATATATATATATATATATATATATATATATATATAATAAAAATATTTAAAAGGGCTTAAACACTAATGTTCTATGGTTATAATTTAAATTTATTCCATTGGAATCGTAAATACAATCCAATTCATTAGACCTACAAATTCAAAAAGAAAACAGAAAAAACTCCGGAAATAAAAAATAAAATTTAGTGAGAGTGGAAGTATGAGAATGTGGGACGAATGTTAGAGCTATAGAGAGGGGTAACAGACGAGAGAAGATGGGGGATTAAAATTTAACAGGGAGAAGTTTTAGAGAGGAGAGTCAAAGATGGTTTAAGTGAGAGAAATATGAATGTTGTCGGATGTCTAATACATTAAAGACGTAACCAGAAAGGATACATTTGTGGTGATATACACACACAATAGACGATCTAATCTTAAAGATCAGAAGAAGAGGGAGGGAGAGGAAAAAAAGGGTGGGGGAGAGAGATGGGGCGGGAGAAACCAAAACTGAAGGGCATTTACTGAAAGTGCTGCTGTGTAATTAAGAAAATTTGACAAAATTAATATCGACTACTAGTTACAAATCAAATATAAACATATAAAAAATAAATATAACGATTATCTAATCTAGCAAGGACCTATATTTCTATGTTTAAAAACACATGCGCATACACCTTTTGCATATGAATGTGTATATTTACCACTAATATGCATATTTTGCATATGTATGTGTATATTTACCACTAATATTATCTATCTATTGTGACGAAGCAGATAGCATAGACACGCATACACGCATCTATTAAGGTTAATTTCCGCCTAGCAACAGAATAAAGGCCACGTGAGAGTCTTATGACATTTTGGGAAGGCAGGTCAAAAGGTTGACTGACCCAATTACTCGTAGCGACAAATGTCTAGACAGAAGCTAGACAGGGGACTGATGTAAGCTGGAATTTGCGCCAAAACTTAAGACACGTGATAGTCAGAGATTCACTCGAGAATCAGTTGCTATCTTGACTTTAAAGAAGCAAGACCTGAAGCCGAAGCGCTGATAGTTTATGAACGGAAAGATAAGACGCATTTGATAGTGATGGAACTTATCCAGTTCAACCCAGGCAACTCCGGACAAGAAATATAACAAGAAGTATTCCTGTTCGAGAACCCCAAATTGAAGACGCAGAGAAATTTATACGCTGAGGATTCAGCTTGCGTTTAAAGAAAAAGGAAAACCAGAGAAGAAAGCATATATCTTTGTTACAAGTTGAATTGTGTAAAGAAAAGAAAAAGGAAAACCAGAGAAGAAAGCATATACCTCTGTTACAAGTTGAATTGTATAAAGAAAAGAAAACGGATATCCAGAGAGGAAGAAAGTATATACCTCTGTTACAAGTTGAATTGTGTAAAGAAAGAAAAAGGAAAACCAGAGAAGAAAGTGTATACCTCTGTTATAAGCTGAATTGTGTAAAGAAGAAGGAAAGAAAGAAGAAAACCAAAGAGAGGAAGAAAGTGTACATTCCTGTTGCAGTGAGTCGGGTTTGGAAACCGAACTGTCTACAGAAGAAAAAGGAAGGAAAGAAAAATGCAAAACAAAGAGAGGAAGAAAGTGTATAACTCTGTTACAGCCGGACAGTGTGTGAAATTGTGTTTGTGTCGAGAAAGGAAAGGACAATGATAAAAAAGAGAACTGAATATAAAAGATAAGTAATCATATTTTGGACCCGTAGTAGAAAGATATACATACATCCATGAATATTATGTTCTTGCAAACACCTTTCCATATGTCAAAACAATAATTGTAACTCCTATCCCATTTCTTTTGTGTATGCGTTGGCTTCTGCATTCAATTTATAGTAATTCATACTTATATTTTCGTATGTTCGGGTTCAGTTAAATCCATTTGGAGTTAGGCGAATTTTGATATCCCAACGTAAGTTTTGAGATCTGGTCGTCGGATGTTTTTACTCATACTTATCTGTTCTTTTATTTTGATATTTGTATATTTGTACATATTAAAATTCTTGTATCAAAAATCGCTAAGCCTTATAGTTCATCCTTGTATTGTGGATCAGTATTCGGGTTGAAAACGAAGCGGACCTGGGAAAAGATTACTGTTCGATTATCTCAATCGAACAGTGGTCTTAAAAAATATTTTTGTTTACCAATTGTCCATTGTCCAGATGTGAGAATGTATATATCTCCTAGTCGGCGTATGATCGCCTTATAACCCATTCGTCGACTGGGGCATATGATACTATCTATCTATCTATCTATCTATCTATCTATCTATCTATCTATCTATCTATCTATCTATATATATATATATATATATATAGAGAGAGAGAGAGAGAGAGATTAAAAATACATTCACTCCAGTGATCACATATAAATTAGAAGTAAATTCTATCGTTGGAGTGGGATCAAACTCTAAGCACATCTGAACACCAAATGCGCAGAGGCAAAAAACCTATGTTTCATAGGTTAGATAAAAGCATTTGATAAATTAAGGCACAAAAACCTACTTGAAATGCTTGCGGAACTTAATCCATATGGGAAAGATATTAGATCAATCCGTAATATTTCCTGGGAACAATTTGCATGCAGATAGAGAATGAATTCAAGGACGCGTTCACTCATCGAATTTATGTAACTTATACAGCAAGATGGCCGATAGAGAACTAGAAACCCTATCAGGATTTATTAACGGTAGATACAAGCTTAACACCATAAAATACGTAAATTATACCGTATTGATGGAAGACACAGAAAGGTGACTGAAAGAAATTTTTTAAAAGGTAGTAAAGGAAAGCAAGAAGAAAGAACTAACTATTAACTGCAAGAAAACAGTGCATGGTCGTCAGCAAAAGAGACATCTCAAGAGTTGAGCTACATATCAGAGACGCCAAAATCAAGCAGGTGCAGAAAATTACAGTAAGAATTGTAGTAAGAAACGTTGGGGAAAATGTGACATCGAAATCCGAAGGTGCATAGGAATAGGATGAAGGAACAGGAAATTGTCTTTAGGGACAAAGGAGAGGATGCTGAAGTGGTATGTATTATCTAATCCCCTATATGGCAGTAAATTCTGGACATTCTCTTCACAGATGAAGAAGAGACTAGAAACCAAAGAGATGTGGTTCTATCGACGAATGCTGGGAAGACAATGAACTGAAGATAGGACCAACGATAAAGTTTTAAGGAAAATAGAAATTTCACTGAAGCTTTTTTTGTAATCGTTTCACCCCAAACAAAGCGATAATGCCACGTGAACTCGGGGCGGGGGGGGATTACAGGGAGTGAAAGTGAATAAGAAAATCTTAGTGTGGAGGATTGAGGAAATAGCAAAGTAGGAACAGGGTATAAGAAGACAGATGGCGATTGACGTTGAATAAAATTTTTTGAAGATTGTAGTTATCAGGGAAGCAAGGAGTACCACGGGTAAGAAGTCTGAGAAAAAGAAACTATTGTAGTAGAAGTGGTGGTTGTATCTTGCTAGTTCAACAGTAAAACGATGAGACTTAGTCACCAATCTTAGCAGCCCGTCCTGGGTATGAAGATAAACTACGAACAGTAAGATCAGGACGTTTTTGAGGGGCGTGGAACTACCTCTTAATTGCTGGTGTTCCCAGGTCCACCCTGACACGGAGTGGTAGCATCTGTTAGGGTTCAAGCGATGGGAAAATAGTTAACGTCAAAACTGGGGTCAAAACACTATGAAAGTTTAAAAATAGGTTTTAATACCAGAAATACTTTGTAAAAAAAAATTATTAACAGCAATACATTTTTGAAACACCCCCCCACCAAAAAAACAACAACAACAACAAAACAAAAGATATTACCAGCAATAAAAATCTTGTCGGCATTTTAAGAGAAATGAACCTTAGTCCTTTCTTCTCGCTAAAACCAAGTAGAGTAAATGTCATTAAGGTTGATATGCCGTAAAACAAAACAAAGCAAACAATCTAGCAGCACGCTTAAATTCATATATTAGAGACACCAGGGAAAAAAGATCATTAGAACAGTTGCCATGAAAATATTTGCAGAAAAGACAGAAAGAAGCCACGTCAGTGAGAAAGTGATTGAAGTTGAGATGCCTGGTCAGGACAGATGACATTACAGTTCCTTTTTTGGATTTTATCAAGAATGTCGAGATGTCCAGCAGGAGCACGAGACCGGATACAGTAACAAGATTCAATGCATATACGAATGTCAGATTTATAAATGTTCAAGATGGATTCTGACAAGAAAAATTTTCTGGCACGACACAGTAAACTAAATTTTCTTGCAGTAGACGTAACAACTGATTCGATAGAGTCGCTTCACTTCATGTCAGTGAGGCTAATAAGGCGTAGAGTGTCGCTCCCCTGGAGTTTGGCATCAGCTATGCAACTTACAATTTGAAAGGGGGACTTAAAATTTCCGGGATAAATAATGAGTAAAGATGACAAAGAATCTAACGCTTACAAGATATGCTAAAACCAAGTAAAGTAGAGTAAAACAGCATGTGAACATATTTGTTGTAACTGAGTTATCAAAAACAACAGTAGAAAACCGGAATTGGTTTAACAACAAGTTTGGTACAAGGAAACATAATATACAATAGAAACTAGTGAAGAGAATGTTTAGCCGTGAATGACTGTTTTCAGCAAAAGCTACTGCTGCTACTGCTACTCCTCTTGATGTAGGAATATTTTTATGTCTTTCGTCCGACGACCGACTCCAAACTTGTAGGGAAATATTCTCCCTCACAACATTATTTAAGGTGTTTTTGTTAATACAGTTACACAGAGTATAAACTGGGAACCAAAGAGGCTGCACGCGGATCGAAAACAAGTTCAGTGAATAGACAAAAATAGAAAGCGGAGTGCAACAAGGATACGTTTTCTCACCGGATTTATTTAACTCCAAGAGAAAGATGACCAAAAATCAGAAGTCCTACCAGGATTTGTCATTAGTGAGCATAATCTTAACAGCGTAAGATACGAGGATGACACTGTCTTCATATCAAACTCAGAAGAAAAACTGAAAGGAATTTTAGATAGGGTCAAAAAAGAAAAGCGAGAAGAAAGGACTAACTATTAATTATAAGAAGATAAAATGTATCACTATAAGCAAAAAAAAAAAAAAAACAACCCAAAAGCTGAGGTACATACTGGGGATGTTAAATTCAAGTAGGCACAGAAATTTAACTCTCTTGGTAGGGTATTAATAGACGATGGAAAATGTGACACAAAAATCCGATGATGCATTAGAATAGCGAAAAATGTTTTCCGGAAACTAAGCTAAACATTAAGAATCAGGAAAATTTTGTTAGAAGCTAAGAAATGAGTGCTGACCTATTATGCAATATTTAATATCGTATATAGCATTGAATGCTGGACAGTTTCTTCACAGATGAAGAAGTGATTAGAAGCGACAGAAATGTGGTTATACTGACGGATGCTGAGAACCCCATGGTTAGAACATGTGAGTAATATGGAAGTCTTAAAGAAATCTGGAACAACAAAGAAATTTACAATCAGAAAGAAACAAATGAAATTGATTGGGCGCATAATGAGGAAAGATAGTCTCGAGAACTTAACACTCAGAAGACATACTTATGTCAGGAGAAATGAGTAACCTACTTAATGAAATTGTGTGAATGGTTAGCAGAACAGTGACCAGTAGGATGGTAGAGTCAAATGTTACTTAGAACGACAAAGGGAAAAGATATTTTTGACTATAATCACACTTGTCCTGAATTGACAGGGCACGTAAAAATACACAGTGGTAAATTTACACAGAAATAAATTATTTTAGACAAGCTGACAGATGAACTAGCAGGATTTGGGAGATTTTTTTTTTTTTTTTTGCTTGTTTTCTTTTGTTTTTGTTTTTTACTTCTCACATGTGTGAAGTCTAGAATTGATTATTCTATCTGGCATTCTGATTATAGATTCTAAGGGTCTAGTTGTTGATGGTAAATATTTTATTCTCTCTGTCTTTTCTGTTTTTCTTTGTTTCTTTTGGCGAATTCTTCTCACCCTTTAGGCATTTCGCCAGTTCTCTTCCCTCTTTTTATTTCAGGTCTTAATTCCTCCTTTTGCCCCATACCATAACGTTGGTCTTTCTTTCTTTCTTTCTTTCTTTCTTTCTTAGTTTGTTCATTTCTATCTATCTATCTATCTATCTATCTATCTATCTATCTATCTATCTTAGTCTATTCATTTCTTTCTTTCTCAGAATGTTCATATCTATCTATCTATCTATCTATCTATCTATCTATCTATCTGCCCTAAGAGCATTTAACCAAAGCATTCCAATTGTTTTGGTATCTGCGTCTATCGTAACGGTTATCGGCGCGGAAAATTGAATCGACCATTCTTTCACTTTTGCACTAATATCCTTGGAAGAGGCACGGTTCCATTTTTCAACCCCAGCTACGGGTTAAAGATCCTAACTGGTGCAGTTCTGGGCATTTCGCTGTCAACATACTGGTCTCCCGCGGCTTTTAGTACATTAGTATATAACGAAACCAGTTTTAATGAAGACCATGTTTAAGAATTATATTAATGAAATTCCCTGCACAAATACGCGCGCGCGCACACACACACAAACTCTCTCTCTCTCTATATATATATATATATATATATTTCAGTATATATACATATAAAGAAAGAGAGAGAGAGAGAGAGAGAATGTGTGTGTAGCAGAAACACATTAAAATTATGTTATAGCTGCACCAATAATCTTGAGAAGGTTATAAAGCTACACAATAATAAAAATTTAAACTAATTTAATAATCTGGATCATAATACACGTTCCAAGAAAAATATTATTAATGATACTGGCCAATGTAATTGTAGGAATTTAGATCCATTGCCAAACAAATGTTTCACTAAATATCTTGTTTCTCTTTGTACTATCTCTACAATAGAGAAACTGACGGTTGAAAAATTCTATATTGGTAGTATTAAAATTTATTTCAAGACTATGTGGTATCAACATACCTTGTCCTTCACCAATAGTACTTACAAAAATAATACATCACTTTCTAAATATTTTTGGAGTTGAAAAGATGATAATAAAACTCCTAAGGTGGAATGGAAATTTTACAAACGGCAAGGAACCCTGTTTTCTGTACTTACATGAAAAATTGGAAATTATCAGATTCAATAAAAATTCCTTATTAAATCAAGGAAATGAATTAACAGTTAATTGTAAACATAGTTTCTCTTTTACCCTACAATTTAGTTAAACTTTGGAAATTGATTTTGCTTTTTTTTTATATTTTCGTTGTACTATGTTGCACCATATATGGCTTATCTTTCTATTTGTAAGATTAATTTAATCTAAGTTATCCACTGCCTTAACCGGATATTGAACTCACACTCTTTGGGTCCTCTCACTGGATCTAACCAAGGCCTTTATCCATTGTGCCATGTGTCCTCAAGGACACATGGCACAGTGGATAACTTGAACAGGGGAATTAACAAGAGAGATCTGATAACTGACATCCATTAAACATGGCACGTGGAACTAGGACAGTCTACCCCAGTGAGCGAAATAAAGGGTTCAGTTCGACATTCCAACCACCCGAAGAAGGCCGGAGCGTACGTGCGGCCGAAAACGTTGTGATAAATATGGCGACAAAGATGAGGACAATAGTCCGAATAATGTAAATAATGTACATAATACCTCATCTCAGAAATATAGACAGATTCTGTTTATACTCTATTTTAATAGATATAGTTCATTTAAGTACATGCTCTGTTTTTATAATTAAACAGTATTAATTACTTTTAGTGGCCTGAATGTTCGAGAAATTTATAGAAAATATGTGTTCATCAACAGGAATCGAAACTGCGTCCTACACGGAGCCGTCATTTGATCTGAAGTGCTATACCAAGTAGCTATAGGGAAACGTCTGGTTAGCAGAGTCCATTTCATTGTATATAGTCATTGTTTACGTTAAGATGCATTTAGTGAGTAGATATGATCGATCGAGAAAAATCGTCGGAGAGTGTGTGTTTAAAAACATTAAGCTTTAGCAAACTGGCATAGCACGTCAGATCAAATGACGATTCTGGTTCGTGAACGCTTATTTTCTACGAAATTTCTCAAACACCCAGGCCGGTAAATTTAATTAATATTGTTGTATTAAGAAATAGAGCATTTACTTAAATAAATTGTATCTATTAAAATAACGTATATATAAATAACACACACACACACACACACACACACACACATATATATATTTATATATATATATACACACACACAAACACACACATACACACACACATGTATATATATATATATATATATATATATATATATATATATATATACACACACAGAGGTGATACTTTAGCGAGCCAATCCAAATGTACCCGGTACATTAATAATAAAACTGCGTTCGTTTATATATTCTGGAATTTCGGTTAGATTCTACCGAATTAAACGTTTTTCTAAATGCCATGTCCCTTCATTACGTAGGTGATCATGATCCCCACCCACTCGCCCATCAAAAAATTGTTTTCTTTTTTTATCCATGGACTACCATGAAATTGGGAAAGACAGCAGAGTGCTTTCCTGTTGCTTTCTTTAGAATTTTAAATTCAAAGTTTTCCTTCTCTTAGATTGGTTACCATTCAAATCTAGGGAGCTCAGTCTACCTTGCTATTTAAACCATAGCTGGAAGGGAAGGAAGAAATGTGTCCATGCCTTTCCCAATGACATTAATACAAAGTAAACCCAATAGTCTAAGCCGGAATTTGACCTCGTCTCGCTTATTTCACTTTTAACGCTGATAAATATTATGATACCCACACAAGACACATCAGTACAGAACAAAATAAATTTCTCTGTGGTGAGAAATGGAAAAGGAAGATTGTGTTACGCCAATTTTTTTTTTAAATGAGGAAGCCAACCAAATTTGAAATGCGCTACTCTCTCAGCTCAGGCCTTATATAATATTTATTAAGATTCATTTAGTACGATAAACGTCTAGGACTGTGATAAAAAGTGTAGGAAGTTTACGTTTCATTAGGCTTCTAGGGTTTGTTTAGCAATATAAGTTATGCAGGTGACACAGTGTTGATAGCAGACACAGAAAGAAACTCCTACAGAATTTGGTAAAAGAAAACGAGAAGAAAGGACTAAACGTCAATTGTAAGAAGACAGATTGTAGGGTTGGCATCAAGAGAAACATGTCAAAATGCGAATTGCAAATTGGAAATGTCAAAATCAAGCAAGTACGAAAATGGTTGAATGGAGGACAAAAAATGTGATGCCAAAATTCGAAAGCGCATTGGAATAGCGAAAAATGCATTCCAAAAGTTAAACCAAGTATTAAGGAAAAGGAAAATTTCGTTAGAAGCAAAGATTAGGGAAATTTTATGTAATATCAGTTTACATATATGACAGTTAATGCTAGACAATCACCTCACAGCTGAAGAAGAGACTTGACGCAACGAAAATATGGTTCTACAGAAGGATGCTGAGAATATCATGGATTGAATATGTGAGCAAGAGGAAGTTTTAAAGACAATGGTAACAACAAAAAACACGATTATTCTTACAATCAGAAAGAGTCAGTTGAAATTTCTAGGGTATGTAATAGAGAATTTGAAACTTACAACACATATTTAAGACAAGATTGGACAGAGGAAAACAAATAGTAACCTACGAACGAGCTTGTGTAAATGGATGGCAGAAAAATAATGGGAAGGATGATAAAAAGAAATTGCTAAAATCTACAAAGGGTGGGAAGTTGTGAAGAACCATGATCGTCCATATTATAAAGGGACACTGCACATAAAAGAAGAATGAATGTCCTGAAATTCAGCATTTAAAATCTGAATATCTTATCTGGATTAAAAACAAAAAAAAAAAAAAAAAAAAAAACAGAAAAGGCTAGTGTGAAATACTGAAAATTCTGTAACGGGGTTAGTAAGTTGGATGTTGATGTAGTATTTACCCCGACGTGATATTATTTATTTAGTGTAACAGGGTTGATGTTAATGACAGAATATTGGTATTTTTTCTACTTTCGTGATGTGAATTACAGATATTGAGATGGTGTGTGCTAAAAACTGTTCTCAGTGTTACTGTATCTTTTGTTTCTTTAAAAGTTTGTGATTACTTGTTTTTGCTTATTCCGAGAACTTCGTTGGTGAGTATAACGTTTGAGATTGTCAGTTTTTGATTTTCACGGAGGGATGAGGATGTGTATGTGTTGGGCATTTCTACTACTACTACTGCCTCTTGCTACTCTGCTCTAGTCTACTCTACTGACCCTACTGTCCTGACTGTCTTCGTTTGTGGTGGAAGGGTCGTTTTTATAATCAGATTTTAGAATGATGAAATATCTAATCTTTCATCACTGGTGGCAAGGTTGTTTTAGGGATGATGAAATTTTTTATCTTTATTTTAGGGATGATGACATATCCTTATTTTCTACCATCACTGATGGCAAGGTTATTTTTAGAATGATGAAATATCTTCATCATTCTGGATCATAACAGTTCTATGAACGGAGCGATTGATTCGTTTCTTACGGCGTATCCACCCTTTGCTGGTTATTTAAAGCTAGAAAATATTTTTAGATTGTAAGAATTTTTGGCGGTACTAATGATTTAGCGATACAAATTTTACTAATTAACCCATAGCTGAGGGGAGAGAAGAAGTGAATTATACCTTTTCCAGGGGATGTTGCGCGTAAGTAAATATAACGAACTCAAATGGAATTGGAATTCGGCTCTCCGATTAACAATTCCGAGCCATTATCCATTACTCCACCCGTGTATCCAAGCTTATAGTACCTGGTATTTCGAAGGGGTCACCCACCTAGATACTGACCGTACGCCTTGGACGGAGTGAATACGCAACAAAGAAGTCTTGAAGAAAATGGTAACAGAAAGAATACTTCTACTCAGAATCAGAAAAAAGACATTTGAAATTCCTTGGACACATAATTGCTTGGGGAAAATAACCCTCACAGAGCATATTGAGGACAAGAGAGAGAGAGAGAGAGAGAGAGAGAGAGAGAGAGAGGTGGGGAGGAGGAAGCATCGAGCGACTTACATCAGCCTTACGTAAGCGGGAGCGTTAGCCAAGGGAGAGAAACTGCCTAGAGCCACAAGGGATAGCAAGATGTGGAGAGCAAGAAGAACGACGACGATGACGACGAAACAGTCACGAAGTAGAATTTACTTTTTTTTCCTTTTTTTTTTTTTTTTAGCTTAATTATGAGTAATGTATTATTGTAAACACGACAGTAGATTGCCGGTAAACATTTCTCGAAATTCCACGCATTAGCCAACGAAATAATCTTATCTTATCAAGTGATCATTTCTCGGTTTTCCTACCATCTAAATAGAATGTCTTGACGAACGAAAACAGGTGAATGACAATTGATTCATGTGACTGTGTTATTAAGTGCGTCTCTTCCAGTAATTTTCTTTCTTTCTTTCTTTCTTTCTTTCTTTCTTTCTTCGTTTATTTGCCGGTTACATTCTGTTCTCCCGGTTTGGGAAAAAGAAAGCTAACCTCTAAGCTTGTATATCATGTCTGAAATAAGTTTTTTCTACTGTTCGAGTCTTTTTTTTAAAATTCATGATATTGAATACTAATTTTCTAAACATTCTTCCCTTGGTAGATTGGTGTAAAAATATAATTGGTTTCTTTCAAGAAACAGAAAAGCTTAATTTGTTTTTAATGTAAATGACGATATTTGTTTTCTGTCTTTTTTTTTTAAAACCTTTTTTCTTACACTACCTTTATATGAAACATTCACCCATTTCACTTTATTTTTGTTTTTTCTCTTGTTCTTTCTTTCTTTTTCTTTTGTTTTTACTTTTTTCTTTCTTTCTTTTTCTTTTGTTTTTACTTTTTCTTTTTTTTTTTTTTTTTCTTTTTTTTTTTTACTTTTTCTTTCTTTCTTTTTCTTTTGTTTTTACTTTTTTTTCTTTCTTTTCTTTACTTTTTTACTTTTCTTTCTTTTTTTTCTTTTGTTTTTACTTTTTTTTCTTTCTTTTTTCTTTTTTTTTTTTTTTTTTTCTTTTTTTTTTTTTCTTTCTTTTTTCTTTTGTTTTTACTTTTTTCTTTCCTTTTCTTTTGTTTTCTTTTTTTTTTTGTTTTTACTTTTTTCTTTCTTTCTTTTTCTTTTGTTTTTACTTTTTTCTTTCTTTCTTTTTCTTTTGTTTTTACTTTTTTCTTTCTTTCTTTTTCTTTTGTTTTTACTTTTTTCTTTCTTTCTTTTTCTTTTGTTTTTACTTTTTTCTTTCTTTCTTTTTCTTTTGTTTTTACTTTTTTCTTTCTTTCTTTTTCTTTTGTTTTTACTTTTTTCTTTCTTTCTTTCCAATTTATTTTTTCTCATTTTTATATTACTCTGTCATTTTTTTTAAAATTCTTTATTTCATTTCTCTTGTTTTTTTTACTCACTAGTTTTTTAGTTCTTTTTTCCAGCCACTTTTTCATTTTTTTCTAACAATTTATATATTCCTATTTTATCCTAATTTTTCTGTTTCTCTTTTTTTTTTGCTTTACATCGCATTCTATTTTTTTATATTTCTCTCCTTTTCTTATTTTTATCTCTTCCTTTGTTTTTCCTTTTCTTAATATCTAATTTACTTTCGTGTTCTTTGTAATAATCTTATTTTTTTTTTATTTTTCTACTTTTTCTGTTCTTTTTTCTCTTTATTTCATTTTTCTCTTTTCTTTCTATTTCTGTTTTTCATAAACTTCAGGCCACTTAGTGATTAGACTAATGGCGGTTCGTGCTAACGGCAATTTGTCACTATTTCTTTTTTCTTCTCTCTCCGACATCTTCCTTTCTTCTTTATTCTCACTTTTTCTATTGCTTAGTCTCTTCTTATTGTCGTTCTTTCTTATCTTCTCTTTGCTTAGTTTCTTTCTTTTAATTTTATACTGTTCATTCATTCATACGTTCTTTCTTTCTTTCTTTCTTTCTTTCTTCATTAATCAATCTGTCTTTCTCGCTCTCTCACCATGTTTTTGTTTTTCTCATGCTCTTGCTTTCTTTCCATTCTTTGTTCTCTTATTTATATTTCTCTCTCTCTTTTTTACTCCGTTTTCTCACTTTTTGACGCATCATTATGTTCATTTTTATTCTGTTTCTCTTTTTACCTCTGTCTATTTTGTTTGTTTCTTTCTTCATTAGTCCATTTCTCTCTCTCTCTCTCTCGATCTCTCTCTCTCTCTCGATCTCTCTCTCTCGATCTCTCTCGATCTCTCTTTCTCTCACCAATATTTTTGTTTTTCACTTATTCTTTGTTCCTTTCTTTTTTTTCTTTCTAATTTTTTCCTCTCTATTTTTACATTTCCCTTTCTCATTTTACCCCGTTTTCTCATTTTCTGTTGCATCTTTATATTCATTTTTATTCTGTTTCTCTTCTTACTTTCTTTATTTCTTTCTTTCTATCTTTCTTTTATTTGCTTTCTCTTTCTTTTCATCGAATTCAGTTTTTAATTTTTCCTTCGTTTTCTTTTTCTTTTTTCTTTTTCTTTTTCTAATTTACTTTTGTGCTCTTTCTGATAATTATTCTTTTATTTCACTTGAACTTTACTTTTTTATTTATTTATTTCTTTTTATTATTCATTCTATTTCTTTCTTTTTTATGAAGTTAAGACACTTTGTCGGTATTTCTCTTTTCTTCATCACTCTCCGACATCTTCGCTTATAAGAATAAGAAAAAGGTGTCTTTTGAATTTCTGTCTGTCTGTCTTTCTTTCTTTATTTCTTTCTATCTTTCTTTCTTTCTTTCTTTCTTTCTTTTCTGTTTATTCCATCTCTCTTTCATCTTTTCGCTAACTTTTTTCCATTCTTTCTTTTCTTTTTTCTCTCTTTCTGGAATCTGTAATATCATTTTCCACTTTATTTCCCGCTCTCACTCCCTCTAGTTTTATTCTTACTCCATTTATCTATAGACCTCTTTATTCGACCAAATTTTTCTCTCCTCTTCATTTCCCAATTTCTTTCTTTTTCCTTTTCCTTTACCTTTTTTTCCTATCTATCTATCTATCTATCTATCTATCTATCTATCTATCTATCTATCTATCTATCTATCTATCTATCTATCTATCTATCAGTATTCTTTCTTTATTTTCTCTACTCGCGTTCTCCATTTTCTTTTTTCCTTCTCTTTTCCACTCAGTTTCTGTCGTTCTCTCCCTCTCTCTCCCTATCTATCTATCTATCTATCTATCTATCTATCTATCTATCTATCTATCTGCATTCTTTCATCTTTTTATTTATTTTCTCTATTCACGTTCTCCATTTTCTTTTTCTCTTTTCCTCTCATTTCCCCTCACTCTCTCACTGTTTCTCTTTCTCCCCCTCTCTCTATCTATCTGTCAGCATTCTTCCACCTCTTTCTTTATTTTCTCGACTCGCGTTTTCCATTTTATTTTCCCTCGTCTCTTTTCCACACAAACTATTTTCTATCTACCTCTCCCTCTCCCCCTCTCTCTATCTATCAGTATTTTTCCCCTTGTTCCTATATTTTCTCTTTTCGAGTTCTCTGTTTCTTTTCACCTACTTCCTCCCTACTTTTTCCCTTTTTCCATCCCTACATCTTTTTTTTTTATCTTTTCAAACCGCTCCCCATTGTCTCCATCTCGACAGGTAAGACTTATTTTCGCTTACCTGTGTAATCACTCAACCTGTAAGGTGATAGCTACATTCTTTGTTCTCTGATACTCAGAGAGGTTAAGATCGCTGTTATTATTCGTTAGATACCAGCAAACTGATATGTCAGCCGCTTGGTGCGTGGCAATTTAGTGCAAGGCACTTCAATTACTCAATCCAACTCCATTGTTCTTCGACCCATCTACATAGTGATAGAGAGCTAAAGGGTGAATGTCGGTTATCAGACTATCCAAAGTGCCAAATATTCCGATTAGCAGTTGCTAAAAATTACGTTTTTATACTTTGTTGTCATTGTAACAACCCAAACTTGTTATTTATTTAGTAGCTTAAAAGCCACCCTATCGGGCGACATTTAAGCTAGCCTCTGCGGAGGGCTCTTGACTGAGTCGTCATTACAATAGGTAGGGAAAAGTAGATGCAGAAGAACTGAAAATGATCGCTACAGTTAAATATTTAATTAATATTTAAGCTACTTTTAAAAGTTCAACGATAATTCTTCTGCCGCCACTTAATTTTAAGACAATTTGATGTACGTAGGTCCTTACTTTCAGTACTAACAATTATTTTTATTTTATGGGTGACTTTCGTTGGATTTTGGCAATTAATTTCGATTATTCCCAAATTCATTTCAAAGTTATAAAAATTGTTATCGTACAAAAAATCTGTCACAAGAAAAAAAAAAAAAAAAAAAAAAGAAAACACGTAAAAAATCACCGAAAACAATGGCATTGATGACAGTTTGGGAATCCAAAATTTCAGGATTGCGAGTTCGGTTCTGGTCCGGAATGTTCTTAATTTGCTCACGGAGTCTGCACGATTCCAAAATGGTATGATATGTTGGGCTACGGCCTCTAGGAGTAAAGTGGGAAAAGTGTGACACAGCGACACACTGACATTCGCATTTATCATATAGAATTATCTATTCTGTTTATTACTATTCAAAGGTTGTAATCATTTCACCCCAAGCAAGGTTATAAAGCCACTAAGATACAAGGGGTTACTGAATGTTAGAGAATATGAAGAATAAACACTATTAAGGAAAGAGAACAATAAAAGGGCAATAATTAGGAAGACAGAAGATAACAATTGACATTGAATTTAAATTTTTTGACTGAGAAGCAAGAAGCCAGAAGATAGTTTCACAAGCGGAAAGTGCGAGAGAAGAAACTGTCAGCATAGAACTTACGGTTACACCTAGCCATTTCACCTGTAAAATGATGAGACCTTGTTGCCAATCTAGTACAGCGCTTAAATACATAAAGTTTAGGTATCATAGAGGAAAGTTCATCAGAACAATTACCATGAAAACATTTATAGAAAAGGCAGAGGGAAGCTATGTTTTTAACGGTTGGAAAAGGAACCGAAGCCGAGATGCCATTTCAGGACCAATAAGATTCTTCTTTTGAATTTATTCAAGAATCTCTAAATATATAGCCGGAGAACCAGGCCACATGTAACAACAATATTCAAGGAATGGACATTGGGTAGACTTATAAATATATAAGATAGATTCTGGAGATAAAAATTGTCTAGCACGACACAGTGAACTGACTTTCCTAGCAGCAGACCGAGCAATTGATTCAGTCTAATCTTTCCACTTCATGCCTGCGGAAAACGTTAATCCGTGAAGACTCAATGAGTCATTCTCCTGGAGGTTAACATCAGCCATACTGTGATAGAAGGTAAAAAATGGTTCTCTCAGACGATGGAAAGAGAGCAGTTTAATTTTGGAGGGGTTAAAAATAACAAGTCATTTCTTGCCCCAGTTAACAACAGTTTGTAGGTCATATTTTAGATCATCTGCCAATTTGGCCTTATTGAGCCGATCAGACTTACTTATTGGATATTGCGGTATATTGTTATTATGCTTTGCTTTTGTCTTGTGTCGTACGAATTGCCATTAAGTCTCAATGACAAACTTCAAGAGATAAGTTTTTTGACGCAGAAGATGCAAACAGGTGATGTGTCATGCAACCAGAGAGACAAAAAAAATGTGGCAATTATATGGAGAGAAATACGCAAGATGTGAGAAGTGCCCATGAGTATAACAATTTTTTTACAATTCTCATGTTTTAGGACTTCCAGGAATTTGATCTAAATATTCATTTGCTCCTTTTGATATCATTCCCAAATCCCTAATAACAACAGATGCCATATTTTACTAATTTCTATCTCGTTTCTTAAACGTTTTCAAAGATTTTTTGTGAGGGTGAGTAGGGACGAAACATCTATTGGAGAATAACTGTTTTCAACGTGAATTTTCCCACTTGTGACTAGTCGATTCCCCTTAAATTCCTCTCACTCTGAACGCTGAAATTCCAAAGGATGGTAACCTCATCATTATTGTACTTTCATGGGTCGTGATGCTCTATCTAGCCGAGCGTCTGAAGCACGTTTTCTCGACAACGACAAACTTCAAGAGATAAGTTTTTTTTTGACTCAGAAGATGCAAACAGGTGAGGTGTCATGCAATTAGAGAGACAAAAAAATGTGGTAACTATATGGAGAGAAATACGCAAGGAATTTGATCTAAATATTTGTTTGCTCCTTTTGATATCATTCCCAAATCCCTAATAACAACAGATGCCACATTCTACTGATTTCTATGTCGGAGTTCTTGTATTTTCTTTCTTTCTCAAGTGTTTTTGGCGGCTGGGATTGCAGCATCTATCAGAACACACGTCTTTTCAACATGAGTTTTTTTTTATTTACAATTATTTTTATTATTATGTAATTTCCTTTGGTTTCCGGTGTCTACTCATTTGTTTCCGGATCCCAACCAAAGACCTAAGGTCAGAAATGGCATCATGACTTTTTCCAGTGAGCTGTTTTGAAAAGAAATCACACATATTTTACATAGATAAAGCCCTTCGTAAGGTGTGGGCTGTACTTGTGAGTACAATATTTTTGTATATTTTTAACTCATGGGCTACCAGAGATTCCTTCAATAAGTCTATTGGATTCTTTTCCAATCAATCCGAGGGCTCCAACTACAACTAGAATTATTAATGAGAAGAGCGAGAGAGAGAGAGAGAGAGTTGTCGCTCGTTGTTGAGCTCAGTTTCCATTTTTATATTTACATACACCATATCACTGATATTGAGCATTTTTTTCTCATAAATATAGTATAACTTCTATATAATATGTCATGTGTCACTGTGTCACACATTTTCAACTTTATCCTAGTGGCTGTAGATAAAACATATCATACCATTTTGGAATCAAGCCGAATCCGTAAGAAAAATTAAAAACATTCTGGACCGGATCCAGACCCGTAATCCTGAAATTTTGGATTCCCAAGTTTTCATTACTGCGATTGTTTTCGGCGATTTTTACGTGTTTTTTTTTGCGACGAATTTTTTAGTACGACAATAAGTTTTATAACTTGTAAATTTGGGGGGATTAATCGAAATTAATTGCGAACTCCAGCGAAAGTCACCCATGAAATAAAAATATTTTTTGGAGATAAAGTAAGTACCTACATACATAAAATTGTCTTTAAATTAAGTGGCGGCAGAAGAATTATCTTTGAACTTTTAAAAGGTAAGCTTAAATATTAATGCAATACTTAAATGCGGCGATAGGCGTCGTTTAAGCTAGTAAAACTATATTTTTATCACACACACACACGCACATATATATATATATGATGAGATAAAAAAACAAATAGGAAGATTAATAAATAGGATGTTGATAAATGTTTCCAATTTGTTCTTTATTTTATCATATATATATATATATATATATATATATATATATATATATATATATATATATATATATATATATACACACACACACACACACACACACACACATATATATATATATATATATATATATTGCGCTTTGTATATATGGATTTTAGCAGAAATTAGACACGCTCTTATCTGTTGCTCTGTAAATGTGTGCAGGAGGAGTGAGGACTTTTCGAGTTCTTGCTTTTTGCAAAATCCTTTGCATGAAATAAATTTGATGATCTGAAATTGTTTTGCCGATTACATTTTCACTTGTTCGAACCATTAAGAAAACATAGTCATACATTCAGAAAGCAAAAAAGATCTTTTAAAGAAATTAAACCTGATGGCTGAGACGGTTACGTATTTCGGTGTTCGAGTTTAGGTAACAAAAATAAGAGTCTGAATGCTGATTTTCAAAACTGACTACCCTTCCTCGCTTAGAATATTAAAAGGACTGGATGTTCGCCTCTCTTTCTATTGAACAGGAGTATGGCTTTATAGCTTGTTTCCTCATTAGGACTGAGTTTCCAGTTCCTTCTAAAGTCTTCGCCTTTCTTTACTTCTAGTAACCTCTTGTGTTTAGCATTATCGCCTTGATTGGGTTGAATTTATTAAAACTAAAATTGGCGCATCATAATCTTTATTCCCGCAATTCTTCTCATTCAGCTTAGTTCTGTGCTAATTTTGTTAAGTATAAATAATATTGAAGGAACCTGGTTGATACACCTTTTACATAAGGGCCAGAGGTCAGTGTTCGAGCCTGCACAAATGCAAGCTGCTGGTTTTCAAAGCAAGCAAACTCTATTCACTTTGAGGATTTGCACAGGATGTTTTCCTGAATTATTTCCCCATATTTGGTCTATGTATTTTAATTTATTTAGATCGAAAGTTTAATCTTGTATTTTAACAGTCACATTATAGGTATTAAGCTGGACAAGTCTACCGCAAGGTCACAAAATTTGAGAACCCAGTGAGGATCGAACTCACTGCTGTAGAGGAGTAGCTCACTTATCAAATTACTTCAACATCCGCATTCTGTGCAAGGTATAACTATTTACAAGTCGTTGACTAAACACGCATCGATTTATTTCGGTGATTAGAGCAACGGTCGAAATAGAACGAGGTCGGAGCTTCCATTCTTACGTAAAAAGAGAACATTATCGCCATGAAGAAGTTGAGCTACTTAGCAGCTTGGTTGGTTATGGCAACCTTATTTTACAAATAACTTGGTGTCTGAAGG